CCATACTACAAAAACCACCCCCCCCCTCTGAGAGAAGCAAAAAGGGAAAAAGATGGCTTTGCGAACAAAGCGGAGGTTTACAGTCGTATATCCAGGGAACCCGGGTGGGGAGGGAAGGGGTCAGGGAGCTCCTCTGCAGGTCTCATGGGGATGCATGGATCGATCGAGAGCCACTCCTTGAATCTCAGGTAGTAGTCCTGTGGAACATCCTTGACTCGTGTCTCCTCCCTTCCTTCTCTACCTTCCCAGTCCCCTGTCCACATTACTTCCACTACCCATCCTTCCCGGACCCCACCCAGCCAGTCTCTGGAGAACTGGAGTAACTGTTCCCGGATGTCCTTGGGACTATGGAGGGAACCTGCTTGGTTGACTGCCACCGGTGCGAGATTTCCATTTGGAAGTGCGTTTTGAGTAGTTCCATCCTTTCTTCTCCTTCTACTCGGACGTGGTCTAAGGTTAGAACACAGCGTTGCCACCACAAGACCCAGATTCTCGGAAGCATCTTTTTTTTTTTTTTTTTAAGGGACAAATGCTCCAGTCTATTCGTGGGGAGCAACACGTGCTGGGAACCGGACCCAGCGTCCCATATAAAATGATACAAATGATTCGAAATACCAGGGCCATTGCCTGGCTTCGGCTAAGAACAATCTTGAGAATTTGAGCTAAGAACAATCCGAGAACCACGACAAGAGTTCAGGAGTTACTTCAGCTATCATTCGTTTTAGTCGATTAAGTGCAATTCTTACTTGGCTTTGTAGCATATCTGCAATCAAGTGTACACGACGGTTCTTCAGGTGGTCAATATCATCTAAATTGACTATTTTAAAGCCTTTTCGATAAGAGAATTAATTGCTGCTATAAGGTCTTGAGGAACTAAGAATCTTTCTTCTTCTGGTATGACTAAATTTAATTTCTTATTAATATTTAATCGTCCAATACTTCCAATTTCACTCAGTCCGGTTCCTTCTTTTTCTCTTTTTTTTTTCCGGTTCCTATTCCACCGGCAAGTCAAAAAGAGCTACATATAAGGCTCACCCACACTCTTCACCTTTCAGGATAGGACAGCCCAAGGGACGGCATTGATGACTTCCGGCGGATAGGATGTACCACCCCTCACCCCTGCCTAAGTTTGCCTGATCCCCTTTACTTCTGTTTCTATGTGCTGGACGAAATCCCGGTATTGCGGTCCCTGTAAAGTTGTGTAAACCTGCTTAGTAGGGCCTCGTCCAGCCTGTACCTCTCAGTTCTTTTCCTCCCAGATTCTCCTTAAGGATTTTCAGGGCTAGGAAAAACAGTCAACTCCAAGACCCCAACAAACACCAAACTTGACACACACAGACCTTGACCAAAAATAAAACAGGGCAAAAAAAAAAATCAGAAAAAACTAAAAAAAAATGATCTCCAATGCACTTTTCAGGGTTGAAGGGGTTAACCAGGGCTGAAAAGTGGGGGTCCCTGTTAACCGCTTGTGCCTTACGTGGCAGAACTGCTGACTTTTTTTTTCATTATTATCTTTTTTAATTTTAACAACTGGAGCGGGTGCTAGGGTGCTGATAAGAGCAGGCACCACTAGCACTCCCGGGGAGGCTCCATCTATTGGTGGGGCCGCTGCGGCGCAACACCTGCTGGAAAGCGGGTCCAGCGTCCCTCTGACACAATGTAGCTGTTTGTTGTTTGTTTACAGACGTGTGCCACTGGTTGTAGTAGTGATCAGTAGCTGCAGAGCCCGCCTGCGAAGAATGACTTCTGGCAGTCAGGCCTCTACGCTGCCACCGAATTGTTCCTTTGAACACTTACGTGCTTAAAGTTTATGTTCGCAGCCACAGTGCCGCCCTGCAAAAGGAGGCTTTTGGCAGGTAGCCTTCTTTTCCAGGACGGGACTTGTTACACCCTAAAGGCTCTCAGATAAAGTTGCTGCTGCCCATGGCTGAAACTAAACCTTAGGCTATTGAATTCAAAGTGGGTGGTTGGCTTTTCCTTCTTTGGGCCTTTTTAACCGCTCTGTCCTAGAGCTATCATCTCGTGTTTTTTTTTTTTGTCTAAGTGGAGTCGATAGCGATTCCGGTGAGATGGGATCTACTTCGAGGCGGGTATATTAAGGACTGGGGTATGGTTAGTCTATTGTGTCTCCACTGACCGAAATGTATTTTGCTTTGGGAAATTGTTGCTGTTCTCCCTTCCCCTAGCGGCTTTTTGCTATAAATGCCTCAGTGATCTTATCCTCATCTGCTATATTCTTCTCTCTTCCAGCTTCCTCTATATTCTACCTCTATCATATTTAGGACTCTCTTACCATGCTTCCTGCAACTTGTAGGTCTGAGTCAATCATCATCTTTACCTCGGTATTAACCAGGGTAAACTTTTTCCTCCCTCAAATCCCCCCCCCTCCTTCTTTTTATATTTTTTTTAATATTTATTTTAAATCGTCTGCAACAACAGATAGGAGTGATGATACGAGCATGCACTCCTACCTATCTTGCTGGGGGCTCCCTGCAACAATGGCCTCCCTGACAGCACGGTGCACGCATGTTGGTGACAGTGGTCGATCTACTCCTCCTCGATGATAGACTATAGCTCCTCCATAGGCGGTGGAACAATGCAGGCAAAAGCGTAGTGCAGACCTCTCCGCTCCTCTTCGTCGGCACTGCTTCTCTCGTACTCCTCCTCCTCAGCGCGCATGGTCGTTGTGAACAAACGCCGGGTCGAAGAAATTGGCATCCTTCTCACCACAGTTCCGATCTCTCCAACCTGAGTGGATGTGACTGCTCCAACCGCTGGATCTACTTCCCCATCCTCTTTTTAATCCATGTCTCCCTTCTGATGCTAGAAGGAAGCAACAATCTTCTGCTGTTGTACGGCATCAGCAGTCAACAGCATCACTCAACCATCATAGTCTCATAGACTCTTTTTTTTTTTTTTTTTTTTTTTTTTTTAACAAGAAAACAGTCCCTCCAGTGCTAGCGATGCTGTTTAGAGCAGACATCGCTAGCACCTGGGGAGAGGCTCCATCTATTGGTGGGGAGCGTCACCTGCAGGAAAACGGGTCCAGCGTCCATTCCACAGTTTGATACACATAGACTTACATACACGTAAGACCAAATGCAAAGAACAACATAGCTGTACTAAGCGTTATGATACCCCTTCTGATGCTAGGTTTCTCCCACGCCTTCTGTTGTTGTTCAGTCCCCTCGGAGGAGTAGTGGACCTGCTATGCCCGTTCCTTCTTCTCTTCATCTTCTGCTGTTGTGCCGCCCTTGTATCGTGTCCTTTGTGGTAACGAAGATGACCTGAGCATTCTCTCCCTGCACAACAGACACTACTTTTTTTTTCTTCCTCCTCCTTCTAGAGGATCGCCACCGTTGTCTTTTCTTCTTTTCTTCTGTTTTTTTAACTTTTTTTCTTTTCTTTTTTCCTAGGCTACCAGTGGCCCGAGACCACTTGTCCGGCCGGGCCAAAAGAAAATAAAAAAAATAAAAAAATAAAAAAATAAAAATATTTTTTTATTGTAAATCTGGTAAGGAATTTCGATGTGA